CACACACACAAATACACAATCAGTTTTACGTATGTCTGTTTTCCTCTTGTTGTCTATCCTCCCTCTGATCTTTTTCTAAGTATTTTTGTTGGCCCAATTGAGCACCCTTAAGTAGTGTTAAATAGTCGGTGGTTCCTCGTTCGGAGTGCCAACTGCACTCTTATAGGGGCGCTCGGTTCGGGATGTCTATGTTGCCTGTCGGTGATGACGGATGGTCGTCGGAGTGTCTCTCTGGCTCAGCGGGTGGTGGGAACCAACAGTATGCGGGGTTCACCAGTGATGTGAGTAGGTGATGTGCTGCTTTGCTCCGTGTTGGATGTGTGGACTTCCTCGTTTGCGCTCCGCCGCTGCCCTGCTACCTGTCCCGCTTGCTTCGCGTGCGGGTCTCTGCGAATTGTTGTGTTCGTTGTGTGGTGTGGCCGTGTCGCTGGTGTTGCCTTGTGCTTCGCTGCTTCGCTGCCGTGCTGCTCATCCGCTGGTCATGCCTTCTGTGTTTGCTGCTTGTGTGCCCTGCGTTGCCTTGTTGCCGGTGCCCTGTGCCCCGCTCCACGGTTGTCGAGTTACTGGTCCGCTCACCCTCTCTCCCCCTGCAGTGTCGTTGCCTTGCTTGTGTTGTCTTGTACTTCACTGCATGGCTGCCGCGCTGTATGCACTGCGTGCCATGTCGTTCCTTGCAGTCGTTTTTGGCTTTGTGCAGCCTTGTTGCCTCTACTGTGTTGCCCGATGCTTCAAAGGGTTGCTGCTCGCTGCTGTGTTCCGTTTTGGACAGTCTGCCTTCAACAAGGGTCAAAGGGTTCATGACCCAAACCATCAAGTACGGAGATTCCGCAGATTGTCGAGGGTTCAGCCTTCTGATGAGTCGGTGCAATTCCGACGAAACAATCTATCATCAGTTTTGTTTTTTTTCAGTCGTTGTTTTTTTTTGTACTTATTTTTTTTCGGTTGCTGTGTTCGCCTTCTACTTGTTTAGCTTGTGGTCGTTTCCCTTGCTGCCGTATTCTGTTCACCTGTTAATCCGTTTATCCTAAGCTTCTTACCTGACGAGCTTTGTTGCCCTGTGTTCTTTGTCTGCCCACCCGCCTTCGCCATGCCCTTCAGCCTATGTCCTTCGTGTTATTGTTTTTCGTGCCTCACTGCCTTGTGTCGTTTGTCTGCCCACCCACCTATGTCCTTTGTGTCATTGTTCTTCGTGTCTCACTGCCTTGTGACGTTTGTCTGCGCACCCGCCCGCCTATGTCGTATGTCTTTTGTGTCATTGTTCTTCGTGCCCCACTGCCTTATGTCGTTTGTTTGCCCACCCGCCTTCCCCGTGCCCTCCATCCTATGTCCTTTGTCGCGGCTTGTCATTCTATGCCTTACTGGTTGTGTCTTGTGTTTTGTATGCCTAGTGGACTTGCAATGCTACGTTAAGGGTTGTTGCAGCGGGCCTTCATCTGCCCTGGCCCACAGCCAGGGCCTATTTGGCTATTTGCCAGTTCGGCCTGTGGGACCAGGCCGTGGTCTGACCCCACAGGCCGTGTAGTTATTCATTCCAGTCCAGTCATACCCGGTACCACTGTCGGTACCAGGCCAGTCCTGTCCAGTCCAGTCAGTCCGCAGGGGGTATACCCCAGCTGCAATTTGTTTTGTAACTCATTCTTCATTTGCACAAATTGGAGTACGTGTGTGTTGAGTCTGCGTTGGAGCTGCGCTGTCCCTTCGAGCTCCATCTCCATCTCCCCCATCCTCACCCCTTCGTCTTGATCCTGACGGACCGCCATCCCGACGGGTCCGTCACACTGGTATCAGAGCAGGCTTTCCTCCCTGCTCCTCTCCCCCACCCACCCCACCTATCAATTGCCACGCGGCTTGAGCCAAAAAAAAAAAAAAAAAAAAAAAAAAAAACGCTCGCCACTTTTTCTTTGGTAATGACACTGGTGCACTCTTTCGATCGTAACTTCTGCACCGGTGGTCCAAATTTATTGATCTTTAGCTTGCTGAAAAGCTCTTAACGATCCGCTTCCAACAAGCTATAGATCGTTTAATTTTGTGCGGTGGTTGACGAGCTACGATCTTTCAAAGATCGCGATTTTTTCAAAAGCTCCAAAAAATCACCCGCTCCCACCCTCCTCTCCTCCTTTCTTCCCCCAACTACAACCCTATCATCTCCCTCACCTACCACTTCAACCTTTTGTCTTCCCACCTATTTTTCTCTTTTTTTCATCACTTTTTCATCCCCCCCCCACTTCGATTTTTTCTGTTTTTCTTCTTTTCTCTTTCTTTTTGATTTAAATTTTCTCCGTTCCTCAAAAAAATCGAATTATCTACTTCCCTACTTCTTTTCTCATCTTTCTGATTTATTTTATTTTTAATTATTTATTTTTAAAAATTTGGATTTTTTTGCGGCACCCTAAAATCTGATTAGGACTTAGCTATTCTTGCTTTCGGCACACATTTTGACCCCGTGGGGATAACGAAGTGTTGCCGAAATTTGTGAAAAATTCAAAACTTGGTTAGTTTCTCTTCACTCTCCTCCACCTCCTAATTTATTTATCTATTTATTTATTTATTTACTTATTTTTCTGAAAATTTTAATTTGCGGCATTGTAAAAATTAGTGTGCTTCTCTTAGTCTCTCCTTTCTCTTTGCACATTTTGACCCCGTTGGGGTAAGAAAATGCTGCTGAAATTTTCAAAAAAATAAATAATTCCTTTTTCCTCGCTTTTTACATTTTATTTCTTTATTTATTTTTATTTCTTCTTTTATTTTATTTTTATCTCGAAATTTTATTGTTTATTCTATTTTTTTTCCCCCTCTCCTCCACATTATCTTTTTTCTTGATTAGGTCGCCGCTACCCTCCCCTAACCACCTAACTCCGGTTAGGGTTTTCTTAGGGTTTTCTAGGGTTGGGTTCTCCTAACCCCCGCCCCCCGGGCCAGGCCCAACATCCCCCTCAGCGGTGGCGAGTGTTGCTGCCGCTCAGACCACCCCGACTGTTGCGGCAGTTCTTCCGGCCACGGCCGCCCCTACCGTCTCTAGTACTGCCGTAGGCGCTGCGGTCCAGGTACCGCCTTCTGGCCCAGCAGTTTCATCGACCGACACCAGTGTTGCTTCCCATCTTCCCGCACCGGTCGCGGCAATACGGTTCTGCCCTCTTCTTCCTGCCTTCGTCCCCCTGCCCCCACAGCAGGGTACCGCCCAGGCTAGGATTCCTCCTCCCACTGGGAGACCCGCTCCGCCCTCTCCACCTCCGACCCCGCGCACCCAGCGAGTGGCCACTTTATAGGCCACCATCGTGTAGGCTCAAGCGGAGATTCTCGCTCTGAGACAGCCTCACCCATCACAAGCTGCCCACCCTTCCTCCTCGACCACCCCTTTGGTCCCCATGATGCAGGCTCGTTTCCCTCAACCTGCTCCTCAGCCTCTTCCCTCTTACCTGGTTATTCCGGGACAGCTGCCCGCGGTCGTTGCCTCCTCGTCTGCTGGTCCATCAGCCAGCGGCAACGGCCCACAGCCTTCCCCCACCTCCGCCCCAGCAGCGGCCTCGACTTACGCCGCCGCAGTGCACTCGCCTCGATCTCCCTCCCCCCGCCATCAGCACAGTGGATATCATCCTGTGCGCACCACGGACATTCTCGAGTATGATGGCACATCCTGTGTCTCTCGCTGGTTGCAGATAGCAACACGTACACTCTCTATGACGAGCACCCGTCACGAGTTGTGGTGCGATGTGCTCGCAACCAAATTGCGAGGTAGCCCTTCCACTGCGTGGGAGGATCATTATACCCAGCGCCTCCGAGTGGGTGAGGTCCCTACTCTGGCCGACTTCGCGGCCTTCCTTCAGGACCGCTTCGGCGCTCGTTATGACGCCATCGACGCCTTAGACCGTGTCACCTAGACCAGATGGTCTGGGTCCTCTGTACTGGCCGACTTGGAGCATCACATCCAGGTGTTTCAGGACGCTCGCCTTGTTTGTGATGAGACGTTCCTACCGGATGTCACACTCACCGACAGGTTCCTTGTCAGCCTGCCGACTGACTACCGCCTTGAGCTATGAAGGCGATCATTCTCTTCCGCGGAGCAGGCATACGAGGCTGCGCATGAGTACCGGAGGATGTGCAGTCGCTTCTCCGTCGCCCCATCCTCTTCGCGGCCAGCCTCCACCTCCCAGTCTCGGGGTACCACCCGAGGCCGCTCCTCGTTTGCTGGTCGTTTTCGTCGCCAGTCTCGACCTGGAGCGCCATTCGCTCGGCACTACAGTTCTCTTGAGTATGGAGAGGACGCCTCACCCGAGCTCGATCCTACCATTGGGGACGCCCCCGAGGACATCGAGCTTCGGGACGTCATCTTGTACCACTTGGATGACGACACTGTCCCAATGGCCGAGCGCCTGCAGATGGCCATGTCTGCCATGGGTCGTGCACACAGTCGGGTTGCACAGGCTGGCGCCCGCACACCCACAGTTCCTCAAATAGACCTCCCGCAGGGTTTTGTCCCTCCTCGCGGAGCTCTATCCCCCGAGGAGCGTGCCACCCTCGAGGCCCGACGCGACTGCCTTCGTTGCCGCCAGGATGGACACACCTCCTCACGGTGTCCATACCACACCGCCCTCGATCCGTACTACGCTGACATTTCTCGTCAGCGCCGATCTCAGTCCACCCCCGGCCCCGCCCGGCCAGCCCCACCTAGCACCCACGGTGCAGTGTACCCCTGAGGCCTCGCTCGTAGCCGGCTTCCCGACCACCGAGTCGCGGTTTGCCCCTTTGGCTACCCCACCAGAGGATCCTCAGGACATGACAGACGCAGTTCTCTCTGCCCCGTCGTCTGTCGAGGTATCGTCTGCCTCCCAGCAGACCGCCGCATCTAGCGCTTCTCCCCCGAGACTTCCAACGCGTCGCGCCATTCGCACAACCCGTTGTAGTGCTCAGTTGGCGACTCGCGATGACATTGTGTCACCTCTCCTGGATTTGAGCATTCTTCAGGCTCGTCAGGAGCGACTAACGAGACACGTAAACGTCCTGCGTCGTTTTCTCGCTCTTCTCTCTGACCCTGATCGTACCCTCCCCATTATCCCTATTCGCCTAGGGACATCTACGAGAATGTATCGCGCTTTATGGGACTCTGGCTCGCAGGGAGATTTCGTTCACCCTCGAGTGGTTAAGGAAGCTAGCCTAGCTACCTCTGGGTCTCGCTCTCCTATCTCCGTTACCCTCGGAGATAACAAGACACAGCGCTTCTTCGATCAGACGGTCCCCGACCTCCATTTCTCCCTCACCCTTCAGCCACCGGATAGTACCCAAGCGCCTCGACGCTACCATTCCTCCGCATACTTCGATGTGCTGGAGACTGGGTACGACTTTATTCTTGGCACTCCCTGGTCTTGCCGGTTCCGTGGCACAGAGGCCGAATGGGCGACCGAGACACTCGTTCTCAAAACGAAGTGTGGTCAGACCCATCGCGTCCTGTTCATTGGAACCACGGGCGACACCCCGCCCGACCTACTTCCCCAGGACCCTCGTCCCTCAAGGTCCCACCCCAACATCGCGTTCACTTCCCCTCGTCAGTTTGCTCACTTCATACGACAGGAGGACGTCACGTTCAACTCAGTGAACGTCATGGATCTTCTTCGCTACGATCCACTCTGTCCCGAGGTTGAGCTCATCTCTCTGGACCCCGATCCCCCTGACCCTCCTTCCATCTTTGCGGCTCCCATCTCTACATCCACTCGTCAGCCTACGGATACCCCCTCCACGTCTCAGGCCCCTGCGCCGTCGACTGTCGAGTCCACACATACGTCTCGTGCTGGCGCAGACGTTGAGGAACTCACACGGTTCACGGCAGACTTAGAGCCGGCCGTTCGCGACCTGATTCGAGAGTACCGCGACGTCTTTCCCCCGTATTTCTCATACAGCGGGATTCCCCCGATGCGCGGTGTTGAGCATTCTATTCAGCTCGTGTCTGACTATTGTGTTCACCATCAGGCACTGTACCGACTCTCAATCCCTGAGGCAACGGAACTCAAGCGTCAGCCTGAGGAGCTCCTTCGACTGGGTTTCATTAAACCCAGTAACTCCCCTTGGGGTGCACCCGTCCTCTTTGCTCGCAAAGCGGACGAAACTCTCCGCCTCTGCATTGACTACCGCGGCCTTAACCGTTACACGGTTAAGAACAGTTATCCCATGCCCGGCGTGGATGAGCTGTTTGACCGTCTGGCAGGCAACCGCTTTTTCACGAAGATCGATCTTCGTAGCGGTTACCACCAGATCCGCGTTGCCACAAAGGATCAGCTGAATGCCGCCTTTCGATCGCGCTTCGGCCACTACGAATTCACGGTGATGCCATTTGGCCTCACCAATGCCCCCGCCACCTTCCAGACGGCGATGAACGATATCTTCAGGGACATCCTTGAAGAATACGTTCTCGTATACGTGAACGACATCTTGGTCTACAGTCGTACCTTAGAAGACCATATCAGACACCTCCGCGATGTCCTACAACGCTTACGCAAGCATGACTTATATGCCAAGCTCAGTAAGTGTCGCTTTGCCCAGCGCAAAGTGAACTTCCTAGGACACCATGTGTCTGACCAGGGTCTCCACATGGACGACGCGAAGATCACTGCTATTGCAGAGTGACCCGTCCCCACATCTGCCAAGCAGCTTCGCAGTTTCCTAGGCCTCACTTGCTACTATTGTAATTTTATCCAGAGATATGTTAGGTATTCCTACGTTCTTACCTCTACCCTCCTCCGAAAGAACCCGCCGTGGTTTTGGACACCCCTGTGCGAGGACGCCTTTCGCGCCCTCAAGAAGGCGGTGACCTGTGCGCCGGTTCTTCGCCTTCCCGATTTTGATAGTCCCTTTATTGTCACCACCGATGCGTCAGATTTTGCAGTAGGAGTTGTCCTTTCTCAGGTGTTTCCCTCTCCTCCAGATTCACCTTACCCCCATGTTCCTCCTTCCCCCCCCCCTCCTGCTGACACTGCTTCTCGACTGATGCCTACCCTCCCACCACTTCCCTCCACTGACAGTCCTCCTGTTACTTACTCCCCGACCATCACAGAGGATGGGACTGTCGAGGCTCAGGCTGGGGATTGCCCGATCGCGTTCTACACCCGTCAGCTACTGCCTGCCGAGATAAACTACACTACCGATGAACGTGAGGTTCTCGCAGTAGTTTATGCTACTCGGCATTGGCGTCATTATCTGCACGGGGCGCCCTTCACGGTGCGCACGGACAACTCAGTTGTTCAGGCTTTCCTCACGAAGCCTAAGCTTTCCCCTCGACAGGCATGCTGGTGGCGTGAATTATCCGAATTAAGTTTCACCACTCAGCCCATCAAGGGTGAAACGAACCGCGTCGCTGATGCCTTGTCCCGCCGTCCTGATCACAATCAGGAACCCATCCATCTTGCTGCCATCTCCATCACCACTGTTGATCAGTCGGTGATCGACGAGTATCGCACTCAGTACCGCCACTGCCCCGATTATCGCGTCATCCACACGACACTGCGGAGTGGCAAGACCATTCCTTCCTACTCCCTCGGGGAGAACGGCCTCGTGTACTGGCATGGCAGATCTGGTCAGCTAGAACCACGTATCTGCGTTCCCTTCACCGGACAGCTCCACGTCCAGGCTGTAGCAGAGTTCCATGACCAGGCAGCTGCCGATCATATGGGTTTCCACAAGACATTGGCTCGTGTTTGCCGCCTATACGTCTGGCCGAAGTCCAAGGACTTTGTCAAAGCCTACATCCAGGAGTGTCCTACCTGCCAGGAGGTGAACAGTGTGAACCACCTTCCGTATGGGTTACTTCAGCCCCTAACCATACCTGAAGATCGTTGGCAGTCCATCTCGATGGATTTCATTGGTCCCCTTCACCCACCCACTGAGCGTGGTCATGATGCTATCCTGGTCGTCGTCGATCGCTTCACGAAGCGTGCACGTTTTGTCCCGTGTCGCTATCGTATTAACGCTCGTGAGGTCGCCGACATCGTCTTCGACTGAGTCGTGAGAGATCACGGTTTACCTCAGAGCATCATCTCCAACCGTGACCCGCGCTTTACCAGCACATTCTGGCGACGCCTACACAAGGTGTACGGATCCCAACTCCGCTTCTCATCGTCTTACCACCCTCAGACGGATGGTCAGACTGAGGTCACCAATAAAACTCTTGGTAATATCCTCTGAAAGTTTGTTAGGGATGACCAGCAGTGAGACTTACACTTAGCCCACGCGGAGATTGCGTACAACCATGCTGTTTCGCCAGCCACGGGGATGTCGCCATTCTATTGCGACCTCGGCTACCACCCTCGCGTACCCGTGGATCGCGATTGCGCCCAGACACTCGTTGCCCTGCGCTTGACGACTGGATCACCCACATGGCGGCGATTATGAAGCTCGCACACGAGAGTTTAGCCAACTCCCAGACTCGAATGGCCGCACGAGTGAACGATCACGAATGGATCATCCATTCAAAGTCGGTGACAATGTGCTCGTCGACGCACTCCACTTACAGCTCGAAGCAGATACTCTTCGCAAGTTCAGGCGTCGTTTCTTCGGTCTATGCCGCATCCTTCAGGTCGTCGATTCTGATACTGCCGCTAGTCCGGTCAACTTTCGTGTGAAGCTACCTGATTACCTTCGACAGGCTCGCGTACACGATGTTTACCACGTCTCCTTGCTGCGTCCTTATCGCAGACCGTCCGAGCGCTTCGCCAGACGCCCTTATGAGCGCCCTCCACCTATCATGGTGGACAGTCACGAGGAGTTCGTTGTTTCCGACATCGTATCACGCCGAGTTACCGACGATACCCCTCCACGCATCGAATACCTTGTGCGTTGGAAGGGCTACCCTGATGAGGAGGCTACTTGAGAGCCCCTCGAGCACTTGCAGCACGCCAAGATGTTGGTGCGTACATATAATCGTGCTCGTCGTGCTGAGACATCTGCTTCTACTCAGCCGACTGACCCTCTTCCTCCTCCTCCGACTGAGGAGATTGTTGAGGACGCGCCCGCTCCCTCTGAGGCCGTTCCTCAGCCGCAGACAGTCGCCTCCGAGCGTCCACAACGCACTCATCGTCGCCCTTCGCGTTACGATGACTGGCACTCTTATCCTCTATCTTTCCCCACTGACTCACACCATCAGGTACTCCATCATCATCTCTTCTTTAGGATGTCTGTGTTTTGCGGCTCTGCTTCGAGATCGACTCAACTGCTACTTCATCGATGTCATCGACTACTTCGACGACTTCAGCTACTTTGGACGTGACTACTCCACGTCACCACCCTACCCTGTATACTCCCTTGCCCCTGTCGCATGATGGTTCTCACTTAGCTGGGTCTCTTTGAGTTGGGCTCTCCCTAGGTATCGCATAGGCATTGGGACCGTAGCGTTATCTTGGCTTCTTTGCTCTCAGATCTAGCTCCTTCCTCCCCCAGTCGGTGAGTTGTGTGCATGTTTCCCTCACCCACTGCCCTCATCACCCTAACGCCGGCTATTGCATGCCTCCAGTTCGGCATAGCTCCACCCTATTCCAGTCTCCTCTTTTCATGGTCGACCCTGCATGGTGTCACCCTTTTGTCGAGCATTACCCGCCTTGATGGTCTATTTGTTAGGGTCATTAGTTTTGTTTCACTACCACTCTCCCACCTTGAGCCTGATGACCTATCCCACCTTCATGTGTGACTGCCCTTAGGAGTTTCGATTCTTAGGCTGCATTCACCCCCTCTGAGACCATCCCACTCTTAGTGGTTCAGCGACATGACATTATCTTGTGACATATTGCTCTTTTCCTTTCAGCACTGAGGCCACTGCCTCCAGGACTTTAGGATTGTATCATACTACATTTCATTTTCTGCTGTTAGCTAGGATATGTATACCAGACATTTGCTTTTCTTTTGACATTATGTAGCTTAGGCTGCATCGCATGGACTCAGCATGGAGCTTGCTTCGCATCCTAGATTTCTCAACTTTTTTTGTTGCAGAGTTTCGCTGCTTTTGCGGATAGCGTGTTTATGGCTCTTGCGATTCATTACAGGTCTGAGGATCATGCAGCGGGCCTTCATCTGCCCTGGCCCACAGCCAGGGCCTATTTGGCTATTTGCCAGTTCGGCCTGTGGGACCAGGCCGTGGCCTGACCCCACAGGCCGTGTGGTTATTCAGTCCAGTCCAGTCCTGCCCGGTACCACTGTCGGTACCAGTCCAGTCCAGTCCAGTCCAGTCAGTCCGCTGGGGGTATACCCCAGCTAGAGTTTGTTTGGTAACTCATTCTTCATTTGCACAGATTGGAGTACGTGCGTGTTGAGTCTGCGTTGAAGTTGCGCTGTCCCTTCCAACTCCATCTCCATCTCCCCCATCCTCATCCCTTCGTCTTGATCCTGACGGACCGCCATCCCGGCGGGTCCGTCACAGTTGTCTATTGGCTTGACTCACTCAAACGCGTGTTTCCTTCTCAAGTATTGTGTCGGTACGGGGCACAGTATCTGTGCCGAAGATGTTCGCTATGTGTCTTTGCACACACATCAACACACACACACACACACACACACACACACACACACACACACACACACACACACACACACTCAATCAATCAATCAATCAATAAATCAATTAAATCAGGTCAATCAATCAATCAATTAAATCAGGTCAATCATCCAATAAATCAATCAATCAAACCGTTTTTTTGTTTAGTTGTTTTCAAATTTTGCATCTGCATCTTTTTTAAACACCTCCGAGTCATTTCCCTGCCAAAAACAAAAATTCATTTAAAAAACAAATACAAGTCAACTCAGGGACCATATATCTCATGATAAAAAATGACCAAAAAAAATTCCTGTTTTTATATATATATATATATATATATATATCACTACGCGGCCGTGCTGTGCCTCTAGTGCCAGCGGCGTGTCTCGAGTGTATTTTTTGGCTGTGACAGACCTTTTTTTGTTTCGTGGGTGTTTTGCTGGCTTGTGATGGGGTGTGAACCGACAGTCTGTAGAGTTTTCCATCTGGTGTGGGTGAGTGATAGTCTACTTTGATTTTGGTTAAGGTGGATTATCACTTACAGTGTAATCAGTGAGGGGATTCTACAGACTGTTGAGGGTTCAVCCTCCTGATGAGTCGGTGAAACTCCGACGAAACAGTTTGTCACAGCCCCTCGTTTGTTGTCCTCTTCTCCCAACTGCCTACGGTTTACCGGGCAGTTCTATTTGACGATATATATATATATATATATATATATATATATATATATATATATATATGTATGATGATATATATATATATATAAATCGATTTAGTTTTTTATTTTTTAAAAATCTTAAACAAAGTCGGCTTCCAAAAAAAAAACCATAGGAGTGTAGGGTTTTCCAAGCCCTACATATATATATGTATATACAGTGTTGCCGGCGCTCAGGACGGAACGAGCGCCCGAACCCGAACGCCCAAACGTTCGGCACCCCCTCTTGACGCGTTCGGCCGTTCGGCCGAACGTGGATCCAAAAAAAGAAAAAGAAAAAAAAAAACAAAGAATTTCAAAAAAATTGAAAACAATATATGTTATGCAGAAGAATAAACTAAACAACATTTGCCTCAACGTTATATCCAAATTCGTTACCAAATTTGAAATAAAAATCAAATACTAAAAATAAATAATAATAATGAAAATTAGAAAAAATAAAACGAGAATCAAATTATTGAGT